CAAGCGTCTCGCTTAGCAACGGGACCTTTTTGGCCTCCCGTGTGGTTGTAAGCCGAGGACCAGCCTGCACACAGGCCTCTCAGTCTTTGGAAATGGCGGTTGGGAGACGTTGGACTGTAACGCCCACGATCCCCAGCCCGGTGATGAGTAAAGCTTTCTTTAAGGGTGTCAGGGAGGAGCAGAAACGTCTGAGGTAAATTATGTGGGCGGATTGAGGGGATGCTTTGACTTCTCCCCTGTCTCCCTCAGGAGGGAAAGACGCTTGCAGTGGGGACTCCGGGGGTCCCATGGTGGCCTGGAGCAACCGGACCGGCCAGTGGCAACTCCTCGGGACCGTCTCGTGGGGCGACGGGTGCGGCTTGCAAAACCGCTATGGGGTCTATTCCAATGTTCTCGTATCCCTCCCTTGGATAAGGCAAGTGGCTGAGATGGAGGCCTGAAGCCTGATCTCTGGAGAGTTTTCCCTCCTTCCTTCCTTCCTCCTTCCTTCCTTCCTTCCTTCCTTCCTTCCTTCCTTCCTTCCTTCCTTCTTTCCTTCCTTCCTTCCTTCCTTCTTTTTCCTTTCTTCCCTTCCTCCTTCCTTCCTTCCTCTTCCTTCCTTCCTCCTTCCTTCCTTCCTTCCTTCTTTTCTTCCTTCCTTCCTCCTTCCTTCCTTCCCTCCTTCCTTCCTTCCTTCCTTCCCTCCTTCCTTCCTTCCTTCCTTCTTTCCTTCCTTCTTTCCTTCCTTCCTTCCTCCTTCCTTCCTCCCTTCCTCCTTCCTTCCTTCCTCCTTCCTCCTTCTTCTTCCTTCCTTCCTCCTCCTTCCTTTCCTTCCTTTCCTTCCCCTCCCTTCCTCCTTCCTTCCTTCTTTCCTTCTTTCTTCCTTCCTCCTTCCTTCCTTCTTTCCTTCTCTTTCCTTCTTTCCTTCCTTCCTTCCTTCCTTCCTTCCTTTCTTCTTTCTTCCTTCTCCTTCCTTCCTTCCTCCCTCCTTCCTTCCTTCCTCCTTCCTTCCTTCCTTTCTTTTCTTCCTTCCTTCCTCCTTCCTTCCTCTCTTCCTTCCTTCCTCCCTCCTTCCTTCCCTTCCTTCCTTCTTTCCTTCCTTCTTTCCTTCCTTCCTTCCTCCTTCCTTCCTTCCCTTCCTCCTTCCTTCCTTCCTTCCTTCCTTCTTTCCTTCCTTCCTCCTTCCTTCTTTCCTTCCTTCCTCCTTCCTTCCTTCCTTCCTCCTTCCCTCCTTCCTTCCTCCTTCCTTCCTTCTTTCCTTTCTTCTTTCCTTCCTCCTTCCTTCCTTCTTTCCTTCCTCCCTCCTTCCTTCTTTCCTTCCTTCCTTCCTTCCTTCCTTCCTTTCTTCTTTCCTTCCTTCCTCCTTCCTTCCTTCCTTCCTCCTTCCCTCCTTCCTTCCTCCTTCCTTCCTTCTTTCCTTTCTTCTTTCCTTCCTCCTTCCTTCCTTCTTTCCTTCCTCCCTCCTTCCTTCTTTCCTTCCTTCCTTCCTTCCTTCTTCTGATTCCCATCTCCTCCCTCCCTCCTTCCCTTCTTTCATCTTTCTCCCTTCTCTCCTTTCTTTCTTTTCTCCCTCTCCTTCCCTCCCTTTTTCTTCCTCCCATCGTTTCTTTTTTCCTTCTCTTCTATCCTTCCTTCTTCTCCTCCGATTTCTTTTTCTTACTTTCTCCCTCCCTTTCTTCCTCCCTTTCTCTCCCCTCTTTCCTCCCTCTCTTCTTCTCCGTCCTTCCTTCCTTGCCTGCCTTCCTTCCTTTCTTCTCCTTCTCTCTTCTTTCCTTCCTTTATTCTCCTTCCCGTCGCTTTCCTTCCTCTCTCTCTGCCTCCCTCCCTTCCTCTCCTATCTCACCTTCCTTTCTCCCACTCCCACTCCCTCCCTTGACTTCCTGTTCTTCCTTCCTTCATTTCCTTTCCCTCCTCCCTCCCTTCTCTCCTTCCTCCCTCCCCTCCTTCCTTCCTTCCATCTCCTTCTTTCTTTCCTTCCTTCCTCCCTCCCATCTCCTTCCTTCCTTTCTTCCTTCCTTCCTTCCTTCCATCTCCTTCTTTCTTTCCTTCCTTCCTTCCTCCCATCTCCTTCCTTCCTTCCTTCCATCTCCTTCTTTCCTTCCTTCCTCCCTCCCATCTCCTTCCTTCCTTCTTTTCATTCCCATGTCCTTTATTTTTTCTTTTCTTCCTTTCTCCTTCCTTTTCTTCCTTCCTTCCTTCCTCCCTCATCTATTTGTCCTCTCTTTCCTCTCTTTCATTCTTCCTTTCTCGTGGATGACAAGAAGATCTGATCCAAGCCAGGATCCTGCTGATGCCAACTCAGGTCCAAGGACACAAAACTAAACTGGGACGGAATAATCAGGAAATCTCAGGAGAAATATAGTCCTGGGGACTTGTGAGCACCCAGCCGGGCCCATGAAAGAATTTGTGACTGGGTCATGAAACTCTGCTGGTTACCTCTTACAAAACTTCAGCATCTCAAACTCACAAACTTAACACCTTTTGAAGATTGTGAAGTGTTGACATTCACTTTTCTGAAGCTAACTTTGGATTCCAACACACACACACACACACCCTCCACCCCAAAAAATCTCAAAATCCTTGGAAAGCTTGAAGTCCCACTTATCTGGAGGACATGATAGTGGGAAAAGCCGAACCAGACAATCGGCTGTGTTCACACAATACATTTGGACCCATTTGTTTAAATAAACCCCCATTGCTGAGTTGGCTGAAGAGACTGAGCTATGGACTAACCCAAAGGGCTGAGTCCACACAACATGCTAACCCAACCCTCCTACACATCCCCATCTCCAAACTAACCATATTCAGAATATGGTGCAAACGCAGCCTGTAGATTGTTTATGAACCAGGTTAGGCAGGTATGTGAACACAACCCATCCTGAAAATTGTTGCAGGATCTCATCGGACCCGACTGTTCTCCTGTGCTTGCAGAGAATCACAATGACCATATTTTAAAAAAAAAACATCCAAAGAAGATTAGAATTCAGGGCTTTGAGCAAATCAAATAAAACCTCAAAATGTCTCTAATTTAATTTTGCAAATTTGCAAAATGTCTCTAATGTAATTTTGCATTGACTTGTGTTTTCAAGGCTGAAAGTACAATAAATAAATTAGAAAGTCAGTTTTGGGTCATTATCCATCTAGTTAACACTTCATTTAAATCTATGCCCATGGAATAAGCCAGGCTATGACACCCTTGGGCATTGTGGCTTAATGACAGCTCAACCAACAAACAGCAAGCAAAGGAAGACCAACGTATTCCGGTTATTACACCTGTTGAAAGAAAAATCAGGTCCAGTTCCAAGCTGGGAGAAAGATGCTGGAAATAAAATGGAGGCTGCTCAGGAAAGAAGGTTCCTGTTTATTGATGAGCAGAACCAGCAACTGCACGCAGTTCTGGGACAGCTGACAAACTGATTTGATGAGTACAAGGATTTTTAGACAGTTGTACAGCATTTCGTAATTTGGAGGCTCGCTTGGTGCGCTTTTGTTATTAGATTTGTTTAGCTTGTTTCTCAGAGGCGAGCGATGGGTCTAAAATACTGGCTTCCTTCAGTTTTAATCCTGTCAAACGAATGTCATTCATTTTACCCCCTTCTCTTTAGTCTGTCTATTACCTCCGCCGAGCTCTCTTTGTGAAACAACGGGCGTGATTCAATGTTTCCGCTGTTTGCAATAGCCAGGGGTTTCATGAGTAAAACATGGTTTCTGTATTTCTTTTCCTGAGTTTTATTCTTGCAATTTGGAAGAGGGGGGGCATAGTAAAAAGGGTTGGGTGTGTGTATGTGTGCATTCTTTCCGAACGCCAAACAACAACTGCCAATTATTTCAGGCAGGTCTGGATGGGTTGTGGGGTGTGAATCAGATGTTTCACCTGTCCACACGTGTTGACTAACAGTCGCTGATTTCCTATCAGGCAGCACTTTCCACCACAATGTCGGTTTGATCAGCCCCCAAACAGATTTCAAGAATCATCAAACCGCCCACGATGGGTTACCAAACAAACCGTCGGAACAGGCTGGAACAGGCTGAAAGGCGGGGGAGGGGTGGGCTAACCGGATTTTCCGCCAAGCTCAGCAGGATTCGCACCCAGGGCCGGAAAAAAAAAACCAACCAGCATCAGAACATCAGCGTCGGTGTCTCGACGTAATTTCAGTTTGTGCTCTTATTGTTATTCGTTGGTTCGTTTGTTTTGTATCCCGCTTTTATTGTTTTTTAGGAGTAACTCCAGGAGGCGAACATATCCGACTTTCCGTCGCTTATTAACCCCATGACAACAACCCTCTAAGGCGGGTTGGATTGAGAGAGAAGGACTGGCCCAAAGTCACCCAGTAGCGTGACTAAGGTGGGATTAGAACTCACCGTCTCCTGGTGATTGGCCCAGAATCACCCAGCCAACTTTCATACCTAAGGTGGGACTAGAACTCCCCGTCTCCTGGTGATTGGTCCAAAGTCACCCAGCCGGCTTTCATACCTAAGGCAGGATTAGAACTCACAGTCTCCTGGTGATTGGCCCAAAGTCACCCAGCTGGCTTTCATACCTAAGGCGGGACTAGAACTCCCCGTCTCCTGGTGATTGGCCCAAAGTCACCCAGCTGGCTTTCATGCCTAAGGCGGGACTAGAAATCCCTGTCTCTTGGTGATTGGCCCAAAGACATCCAACTCTCTTTCATGCCTAAGGTGGGACTAGAACTCACTGTATCCAGGTGATTGGCCCAAAGTCACCCAACCAGCTTTCATGGCTAAGATAGGACTAGAACTCCCTGTCTCCTGTTGATTGGCCCAAAGACATTGGGTGGGTGTGGCCCGTTGGGTGGGCGTGGCTGCTGTAGTTATGGCAGACTGGGTGGGACTAAAAAGTTCAATCAGTCAAGTCTAACTTTGCGAGATCTTTTTTTTTCCCCGCGGGAAGTTGAAATTGATTGATTGAATCTTTATTTTTTTGGCACACGGCGGCAGAGGCCTAAAGCGAAAAGGTTTTATAAAACCTAGCTGAAGGCCTAGGACTTGGGCGACGGCACGTGTGCCCACAGAGAGGGCTCTGCGTGCCAACTGTGGCACGCGTGCCATAGGTTTCCCACCACGCTCCTAGATCAAACTGGCTCTCTGTCATTAGTTTTCTATTTTTATTTTGCTTCTGGAAAGAGAGCAGGGTTTCACCTCTTTAATGGCACAGGTAGTCCTCCATTTACAACAGTTCATTTAGTGACCGTTCCAAGGTACAACGGCTCTGAAAAAAAGTGACATGCACGTTTTTCACACCGAATGACCATTGCAGCCTCCCCCATAGTCATGTGATCCAAATTCAGACACTCAGCAACTGACTCACATTTATGACGGTCGCAGCGTCCCCCGGGGTCACGTGATCCCGTTTGCCGACCTTCTGCCGAGCAAGTCAGATTCACTGAACGACCGTGTTACTAACGTAATAACTGCAGTGATTCACTTAACAACAGAAACGTTGGGCTCCATTCCGGTCGTAAGACGAGGACCACCTGTCCGAGTGAGCCGGATCCGCTTTGCAACCCCTCCATGGGGCAGAGTGCCTCTGTGCTAGTGCAGAGTGGCTCCCCCTGGCCCCGGACAGCCACCCTCGCTCCTCCAGTTCGCCACGTTTGCCGTTCAGAGAATGTGGTTTCCTGCCTAACGTTGACCTTATATAAGACCTGTCTGGTTTCCCCAAATGAATCAGCACTCTAGTCCTCAGCGGTCACCTTCGGGGTGAAGCCCTCCCCCCACAACATTTGCACAGATGTGCACTCCGGAAACCACAGGAAGTAGGTGCTGGCTGGGTCAAGGCTGCTGTGCACAGACCGGGCCAGGCGTCTGTTTCGAGTCCCCCATCTCTGCAGCCTCTGGCGTCTTCGAGAGGAAGACAATGGTGGCATATTCCGTCTGTTCCCGCTGAATGGACTTCGGAGAAGGAGTGGGCTTCGTCTTTTTTCCTCCGGGGAATTCCAGCATTTCATAATTGACCGTGAAAACGGTTAAAGCAGGAGGCTCTTCTTCCTTCGGTTCAAACGCAAATAATAATAATAATAATAATAATAATATGTTTTAACAAAGCCTACGTATCTCATTTTTTAAGAGAGTTAAAACTCATGGCACTGTTTCTCAATCTTGGCAGCTTGAAGATGTGTGGACTTCAACTCCCAGAATTCCTGAGCCAGCCATGCTGAGGGGAAAGGGAGAGGTTTCCAAGCTGAGCCATGCTGGCTCAGGAATTCTGGGAGTTGAAGTCCACGAGTCATTCAGGGGCCATAGTTCCCCCATGCTGGCTGAGGAATTCTGGGAGTTGAAGTCCATGAGTCATGAAGGGGCCATAGTTCCCCCATGCTGGCTGAGGAATTCTGGGAGGAAGTCTGCAAGTCATGAAGGGGCCATAGTTCCCCCATGCTGGCTGAGGAATTCTGGGAGTTGAAATCCATGAGTCATGAATGGGCCATAGTTCCACCATGCTGACTGAGGAATTATGGGAGTTGAAGTCCACGAGTCATGAAGGGACCATAGTTCCCCCTGCTGACTGAGGAATTATGGGAGTTGAAGTCCACCAGTCATAAAAGAGCCAAGATTCCTCACCCCTGGTCCCGGTAGTCCTCTACTTATGACCACAATTGGGCCTCAAATTTCTGCCGCTAAGCGAGACATTTGCTAAGTGAGTTTCGCCCCATTTAACGACATTTCCTGCCGCGGCTCTTAAGTGAGTCACTTAAGCCTGTAAAGTGAGTCACACGGTTGTTAAGTGAATCTGGCTTCCCCCCATTGACTTTGCTGGCCTAAGTGACCCCCAGGGGACACTGTGTGACCGTCATAAATATGAGTCACTTGCCCAGTGTCTGAGTTTTGATCCCGTGACCAACGGGGACGCTGCGACGGTCGTAAGTGTGAAAAACGGTCCTAGGTCATTTTTTTAGTGCCATTGTAACTTTGAACGGTCACTAAATGGACTGTTGTAAGTCAAGGACTGTTGATACACCAGACAGGAGTAGCCAGGGTGGTGTGGTTCAATTTTGAGAAGTAAAAAGGAACTCACCAAAGGAATATGTCCGTCTTTCTGCTTCTTTTGCTCTGCAAGAAAAGGGAGAATTAGAACTCACTCCTCATTTCAATCAGTTCCTGTGGCAACAAAATTCTCTCTTGTAATAATACAGGGAATCCTGGACTTACAACCGATTCATATTTACGACGGTCGCAGCGTCCCGGGGTTGCGTGATCCCCTTTTGCGACCTTTTCGACAAGCAAAGTTAATGGGGAAGGCTAATAATCTTTTTTGCTCTTCTTTGCACTCTTTCTAGAGTCTCAACAACCTTCCTTCCTTCCTTCCTTCCTTCCTTTCCTCTCTCCTTCCCTGCCTTCTCCTTCCTTCCTTCTTTCCCTCCTTCCCGCCTTCCCTGCCTTCTCATCCCCATCTCCTCCCTCCCTCCCTCCCTCCCTCCTTCCTTCCTTCCTCCCTCTCTCCTTCCTTCCTTCCCTCCTTCATTCCCTCCCTCTCTCCTTGCTTCCTTCCCTCCTTCCCTCCCTCCCTCTCTCCTTCCCTCCTTCCCTGCCTTCTCCTTCCTCTCTCCCTCCCTTCTTCTCATCCCCATCTCCTCCCTCCCTCCCTCTCTCCTTCCTTCCTTCCCTCCTTCCCTCTCTCCTTCCTTCCCTCCTTCCCTCTCTCCTTCCTTCCTTCCCTCCTTCCCTCCTTCCCTCCCTGCTTTCTCCTTCCTCTCGCCTTCCCTTCTTCTCATCCCCATCTCCTCCCTCCCTCCCTCTCTCCTTCCTTCCTTCCCCCCTTCCCTCCTTCCCTCTCTCCTTCCTTCCCTCCTTCCTTCTCTCATTCCTTCCTTCCCTCCTTCCCTCCCTCCCTCCCTGCCTTCTCCTTCCTCTCTCCTTCCCTTCTTCTCATCCCCATCTCCTTCCTCCCTCCCTCCCTCCCTCTCTCCTTCCTTCCTTCCTTCCTCACTATAATGTCTGGGAAACAGGAAAGGATAGCATAAAGACAGGATGTAAGAGAAATACGTAGGCAAAAATTAGCTGGGTCTTAGAGTGGGAAAAGGAAGAAGACAAGCTATAAAAACATCTGTGGGAGGAAATGTCTAGCCAGGAAAACTTAACTAAACTGAAAAACAGGAAAGAACCTATTGTCCTAAGGGGCCCAGAACTCAAAACCAACCACTGAATATGTCTGATATTTTATATTATTAACGAACAAGTGATGTATGATTTAGTATGCAGCAGGAAATAGGCAGGAGGCGGTCGGAAAGAGTGTAACCTCATAGTAGCTCAGCCAACGGGGAAAGAGGAGGGATGCAACAGCCGGGAGAGGGCTGTATAAAGAAGGGAACATTTTGGGTTGAAAATTTGGAGAGAACCAGGCATAATAATAATAATAATAATAATAATAATAATAATAATAATAATAATAATAATAATAAAGTTGGAAGGGATAAGAGCCGAGGTGGCACAGCAGTTAGAGTGCAGTACTGCAGGCCACTTTAGCTGACTGTGTTCAGCAGGTCAGCGGTTCAAATCTCACTGGCTCAAGGTTGACTCAGCCTTCCATCCTTCCGGGGTAGGTAAAATGAGGACCCATATTGTTGGGGGCAATGTAAATATATATATATACATTGCTTACTGGTGTACACCGCTTAGAGAGTGCTTGCACTTAAAGCGGTATATAAGTCTCATAAAATAAAATAAATAAAATAAATCTTGGAGGTCATCTAGTCCAACCCCCTGCTCAGGCAGGAAACCCTACACCATTTCAGACAAAGGGCTGTCCAGTCTCTTCTTAAAAACTTCCAGTGTTGGAACTTTCACCACTTCTGGAGGCAGGTGGTTCCACTGGTTAATTGTCCTCACCGTCAGGAAGTTTCTCCTTAGTTCCAGGTTGCTTCTTTCCTTGGTTAGTTTCCATCCGTTGCTTCTTGTCCTGCCTTCAGGCGCTTTGGAGAAGAGCTTGACTCCCTCTTCTTTGGGGCAGCCCCTGAGAGATTGGAACCCTGCTATCCTATCCCCCCTGGTCCTTCTCTTTGTTAAACTAGACTTAACCAATTCCAGCAACCGTTCCTTATATGTTTTAGCTTGATAGCTTCTCTCCCCGCTTATTGCAATCAACGAAACGAAAGGACTTCGTCATGTCTTGGCTGCTTATTGGCCAGGCCAGCTCACCTCTGGACATGGAGGAAAGTGGCCAGGAGCACATAACAACCCGGTCACCACACTGTTTTTTAAATACTTAATTGTAAAACTAACAAAATATTATTTTAAAAAAAAAATTGCTTACTTTGTCTTCTCCTTCGGATGAGCCACACGGAGAAATATAAGACCACGAGCAGGACGAACAGTCCAGTCCCTCGCAAATCAGTGAAAGACGTTTTGGCATCTTTACGGTCACCACCTTTGTCCTTCTCCTTGACCTGTGAGGTCTCGTTTGGAGGTTGAGCTGCAGCTACTTTCTCTGAAGAGAATAATAATAAGAAGAAGGAGAAGAAGGAGAAGGAGAAGGAGAAGAAGAAGAAGAAGAAGAAGAAGAAGAAGAAGAAGAAGAAGAAGAAGAAGAAGAAGAAGAAGAAGAAGAAGAAGAAGAAGAAGAAGGAAGAAGAAGAAGAAGAAGAAGAAGAAGAAGAAGAAGAAGAAGAAGAAGAAGAAGAAGACGAAGAAGATCAAGATGCCCCACGAAAATAAACATTAGAGTCGTGAGGAAGAGTACTACAAATCTTGGGTATCCTTCAAGCTGACAACATCAAGCACACTGAAGTCAAGAAAAAGATTAGAGGTGAATACATCAAGAGAGTGAAGAAGATCTTAAAGTCCAAACTCAATGGAGGAAATACCATAAAGGCAATCAACACCTGGGCAATCCCAGTCATTAGGTACACAGCTGGAATAGTGGACTGGACTCAAGCAGAACTAAAAGCAATGGATAGGCAGACCAGAAAAATAATGACAATGAATCATGCTCTTCATCCACGCAGTGACATTGATAGACTTTATCTACCAAGGCAAATAGGTGGGCGTGGAATGCTACAAGTACATCAGAGGGTTGAAGAAGAAAAAATGGCTTTGGAAGAATATCTGAAGAACAATGATGAAGATGCACTGAAATTAGTATATCAGGAAGGCTTACTGACTACTGGAGAGAGCAAACTGGCCTACAAGAAAGACCAAATGAAGAACAGAATAGAGGCATGGGAAGACAAAGCACTACATGGCCAATACGTTAAAAAAATAGCTGAGAAAGCAGATAATAACAAGACCTGGCAATGGCTAAGAGCAGGAAAATTGAAGAAAGAGACCGAGGGACTAATTCTGGCTGCACAAGACCAAGCCTTAAGGACAAATGCATATAAAGTCAAAATTGAGAAGACAGCAACAGACAGTAAATGCCGCCTATGCAAAGAAGCTGAAGAAACGTGGACCACCTGGTAAGCTGTTGCAAGAAGATTGCACAGACTGACAACAAGCAGCGGCATGACAAAGTAGCAACAATGGTGCATTGGAAGATCTGCAAAAAATATCATTTGCCTGTAAGCAAAAACTGGTGGGATCATAAAATAGAGAAAGTCATAGAAAATGATAAAATTAAACTGCTCTGGGACTTCAGAATTCAAACAGACAAGCACCTGCAACATAACACCCCAGACTTAACAATTGTCGATAAGAAAGACAAAAAAGTCTGGATAGTGGACGTGGCAGTGCCTGGAGACAGCAGAATAGAAGAGAAAGAACTGGAGAAGATAACAAAATACAAAGACCTACAAATAGAAATAGAAAGACTGTGGCAAAAGCAAGCAAGGGTAGTACCAATAGTCATAGGCTCCTTGGGTGCAATCCCAAAACAACTGGAGCACCACTTGAACACCATTGGCATTGACAAATTCGCTATTAGTCAATTGCAAAAGGCGGCCTTACTAGGAACTGCTTCCATCCTGCGACGATATCTGTAATACCATCAAACATCCACATCTGCCTATCCCAGGTCCTGAGTAAGGACTCGATAGGTAGACAGAAATGCCAAATCCAGTCTGAACATCTGGCTGACTGTGCGATGATCAATAATAATAATAATAATAATAATAATAATAATAATAATAATAATAATAAAGTTGGAAGGGACCTTGGAGGTCATCTAGTCCAACCCCCTGCTCAGGCAGGACACCCTATACCATTTCGGATAAATGGCTGTCCAATCAAGGTTGGACAGGCAACATCCAAGTTGCCTCCTAATTCTTCGTTTTGCAACTTTAGCTCATCCAGAGCGAATCCAGGTGAGTAGGAGGCACACCTGTCTGGGTGGTGGGAGGGTCTCTCAATCTTAAAGATGGGTGGACTTCAGCTCCCAGAATTCTCCAGTGGGTTGGGAATTGAAGTCCACCCCTCGTAAAGTGGCTAAGGGTGAGTAACATTGACTTGGAGGCGTTTTTAATGGGAAACTGGTACGTAAAATGTGAATACAGATAGCCCTCGACTTATAACAGTCTGTTTAGTGACTGTTTAAAGTTACAATGGCAATGGAAAAGGGGACTTGTGACCATTTTCCACAGTTATGACTGTTGCAGCGTCCCTAGGGTCACGGGATCAAATTCCAGATGCTTGGCAAATGCTTCATCCTTATGACCGTTGCCATGTCCCATGATCAGCTTTTGCAAACTTCTAAATCTGGGGGACAACCTGTTCTCCAAAGCGCCTGAAGGCAGGACAAGAAGCAACGGATGGAAACTAACCAAGGAGAGAAGCAACCTGGAACTAAGGAGAAACTTCCTGATAGTTAGAACAATTAACCAGTGGAACAACCTGCCTCCAGAAGCGGTGAATGCTCCATCACTGGAGGTTTTTAAGAAGAGACTGGACAGCCCTTTGTCCGAAATGGTGTAGGGTTTCCTGCCTGAGCAGGGGGTTGGACTAGATGACCTCCAAGGTCCCTTCCAACTCTATTCTGATGAATTGAAACTTCTCCCTCCTCTAGCAGTTTTCATGGGCAGCCTGAAAAATATCAAACAAGCTTTAGAAATGGCGAGCGAAAGGTCTGCTGGCTTCGAAGAGTCAAGGAGAGAGGCAGCTTCCTAACAGTGAGAACAATGAACCAGGGGAACAGCCTGCCACCAGAAGTTGAGGGTGCTCCAACATTGGTGTTTTTTTAAGAAGAGACTGGACAGCCATTTGTTTGAAATGGTATGGGGTCTCCTGCCTGAGCAGGGGGTTGGACTAGATGACCTCCAAGGTCCCTTCCAACTCTGTGAGTCTGTCCTATTCCTTCCTTCCTTCCTTCCTTCCTTCCTTCCTTCCTTCCTTCCTTCCTTCCTTCCTTCCTTCCTTCCTAGAAGAAGGCTTTTAAGAAGAGACAGCCACTTGTCTGAAATGGCATAGGGTCTCCTGCCTGAGCAGGGGGTTGGACTAGATGACCTCCAAGGTCCCTTCCAACGCCGATCTTCCATTATTCTGTTCCTAACTCTACAACTGCAGTAAGAAAACTGATAAAAATGGGGCAAAAAAGGCACTTAAGAACAATCTTGCTTAGCAATGGCTTCCTTTTCGTCGTAACTGGAGGACCGCCTGTCCACGGGTCTTTTTTTTTTTTTGCTACCCAAAACCCGCCCCAGAAAGTCCTCCAAATACGCCGTCACACCTGTCACGGTGAGGTTGCCTTCGTTGCTCTTCAGAAAGGGCACCTTCAACTGGATGGCGTTCACCCAACAATAGTACATCCCGCTGTCGTTCTTCTCCACGTCCCGGATTTCCATCTGGTAGGTGCGACGGTCTCGTTTGGAAACGCTGTACTTCCGGCTGCCGGGGTCCAGTTTGACTGGCTGGCAGTCGGGGCCCCACTGGTACCAGTTCAGATAATTGCCATAATCGGGGTTGGAGATGGAACAAGTAAACGTCGCCGTTTCTCCTTCCGTTAAACGTAACTGGGCTGGGCGAAAAAGTACTGTGAGAAAGAAAAGAAATGCGCAGGACGAACGTCCGTCACACCGTTGAATGAGCAGGCCCCTCGACGGAGGTTTTAAGGCAGTGTTTCTCAACCTTGACCATTTTAAGACATGTGGACTTCAACTCCCAGAATTCCACAGCCAGCATTGCTGGCTGTGGAATTCTGGGAGTTGAAGTCCACATGTCTTAAAATGGTCAAGGTTGAGAAACACTGTTTTAAGGTTTGAAACAGGTCATCTTTGGCTTATAACCGTGCTTTTAGTGACCAGTTTACAAAGGCACTGAAAAAAAATGACTTACAACCGTTTTTCACACTACCCAACTATGTAACATCATCAATGCTGGAAGGAAGTAGGGTTTCTAGGACTGATGATGTTACCTAGTTGGGTCATGAAATGTCTGCCAGAAAACCACCAAGCTAGGAGAGCACCAAAGGTCCCAGAGATGATGACCACCTCCTCCTCCTTCTCCTCCTCCTCCTCCTCCTCCTCCTCCTCCTCCTCTTCCTCTTCCTCCTCCTCCTCTGCACAAATCCCTCTCCGTTCTAGCACTGATGACGTTACATAGTTGGGTCATGAAATGTCTGCCAGAAAACCACCAAGCTAGGAGAGCACCAAAGGTCCCAGATGACCACCTCCTCCACCTCCTCCTCCGCCCCCTCCTCCTCCTCCTCTCCACAAACCCCTCTCCCTGCTAGCACTGATGACGTTACCTAGTTGGGTCATGAAATGTCTGCCAGAAAACCACCAAGCTCAGAGCGCACCCCCATCGTTCAACCCTGAGCTATAAAAATGTTCTTCTCTCAGAAGTGCGCAACCTGCTAAGATTTAGTCCAGTTTTTGGGGAAAAAAATATTTTTCTCGACTAATTCACGCTGGATCGAACCCCAGATTTTGGGGGGTGGGGTGGGATGTTCCAGCCTTTTACTTCTCTCACCTCGGGCTTTCTGGAAAAAAATAATCCTAGAAATTGCCAGGATATCCTACGGCTGTTTTTCTCTGATTGCGCCTAAAGTCCCACAGAGACGGCTACTCGCGAGGAAGATGATGGGTACCTACCGAAGGGCTTGACCAGCAGAACAGGCGGGCAAAAAAGAAACCCCAGCAGCACAGGGCACAGATTCTGCATGGCCACCCCAAAAAAGTCAGCAACGCGTGGCAGGATGGTCTGAAGCTTCATCCACCAAATGTAGAATTTCAGCCGGAGGGAAAGAAGAACATCAGCAAACTTTGGGGCAACCTGCCACATCAGGAGAGGAGGATGGGATTCTGCCTTCTCGCCCCCCCCCTCAGCTGTACCCCAAGAATTGGCAGATCTGGGGGGGGGGTGAAGCTTCTACCTGCCTCTGCCTTCCTTCCTTGCCTTTGACATATTGAACTGAATCTCTGCAGGGCTGTGAGCAAAGGAAGTGAGAGCAGAGAACGTGAGAGAAGAAAGGCTCAACCTCCCACAGGTTGTTTGCAAACTGCAGCGATGGCAGTTTTCGGAGACACAGGAAGCCCCGTCTCACAGATCAGGCCAGGCCCAGCATCACGGGCGCAAGGTGGCAGGGGGGCCCGCTTGGTTCTTCTGCACCTTGCTAGTAGGGAAGGAAAGGAGGAAGGAGGGAAGGGAGGGAGGGAGGGAGGGAGGGAGGGAGGAAGGAAGGAAGGAAGGAAGGAAGGAAGAAAGAAAGAAAGAAAGAAAGAAAGAAAGAAAGAAAGAAAGAAAGAAAGAAAGAAAGAGAAGGAGGGAGGGAGGAAGGAAGGAAGACAGAAAGAGAATGAAAAGAAAGAAAAAGAAAAACAGAAGGGAGGGAGAAAAAGAAAGAAAGAAAGAAAGAAAGAAAGAAAGAAAGAAAGAAAGAAAGAAAGAAAGAAAGAAAGAGAGGGAGGGAGGGAGGGAGGGAGGGAGGGAGGGAGGGAGGGAGGAAGACAGAAAGAGAATGAGAAGAAAGAAAGAAAGAAAGAAAGAAAGAAAGAAAGAAAGAAAGAAGGAGGGAGGGAGGGAAGGAAGACAGAAAGAGAATGAGAAGAAAGAAAGAAAGAAAGAAAGAAAGAAAGAAAGAAAGAAAGAAAGAAAGAAAGAAAGAAAGAAAGAAAGAAAGACAGGAGGGAGGGAGAAGAAGGAAGGAAGGAAAACAGGAGGGAGGGAGAAAAGAGAAAGAATTAGAAGAAAGAAAAAGAAAGAAAGAAAGAAAGAAAGAAAGAAAGAAAGAAAGAAAGAAAGAAAGAAAGAAAGAAAGAAAGAAAGAAAGAGGGAGGGAAGAAAGAAGGAGAAATAGGAAAAAGAAGAAAAGGAAGGAAGGAAGGAAGGAAAGGCTGATCATTGCTGGAGCATCAGTGCAGGGTTGAACCTGGATTAATGGCTCCCTCTTTCTGAGGGGGGGCACTTTCTGCTTAGCCCCAGAATAACAACGATTTGGTGGCTGGGCTGTTTTGCTATGGAGATAGTCCTCATGACTTACGTGACTGAGTCTGAAATGATGGTCGTCCAGTCCATCGCTCTGGGTCCGTGCCCAATTTTACAATTTCTTTTTTTTTTTTTGCGTCAGTCGTTAAGTGAACGCTACAGTCGTTAAGCGAATAATGACAGTCATATTAAATGAATCCATTTTCATCAATGGGGTGTTTTTGCCGAAAACCAGAAAAAAACAAAACCCAGGGGAGTTTGTGATCCCATGAGCACAGGACGCTGCAAAGGGCGATGAATGAGAGCTGGTTGCCATGTGCCCCAAATGTGGTCACCCTAAGGGTGTGTGTGTGTGTGTGTGTGTGATTGTTTCGGAGGGGAGGCTATCAGAACTTTACAAACAGGTCGTATATAACTGAAGTCCGTCGTAATGTCAAACAGTCACGAAGCGACCTGTCATTAAGTGAGGACTGCCCTTAACCTTTATTAGTAAAGCTCAATGATAAGTAGTTTCAGGATTTTACAACACTATATTATTTTTATTACCTGCTTAAATACATCAAGGTGTATATTAAATATCTTAGGGTACTTTTAAATGTTTTGTTTTCGTTTTATTGCGGTTAGACAATCAATGCTCTAGCCTAGGGGAGAGGGTGGTGTGTGTTTTCCATAATACGTTTGTACAAAGCCAGTCAGTGCACATGTCTGTGCATGTGGGTATATGAATATTTTACTTTATTTATTTATTTATTTGTTATGTTTATGCAGTGTGTATTGGAGGTGGTGACCCTTTGAGAGCTGAATGCAACAAAATCTCATTTTAATGTATACCAATTAATGTACATTCAGAGTGACAATAAAGTTATTTTTCTATTCTATTTTCTATTCTATTCTATTTTCTATTCTATTCTATTTTCTATTCTATTCCTTTTCTATGTTCTATTCCTTTTTTCTATTCTATTCGTTATTCTATTTTATTCATTATTCTATTCTATTTTATTCTATTTGTTATTCTATTCTATATTTCTATTCTACCCTGTATTTCTATTCTACTCTGTATTTATATTCTGTATTTCTATTCTATTCTATTCTATTCTGTATTTCTATTCTATTCTATTCTATGTTTCTATTCTATTCTGTATTTCTATTCTATTCTATTCTATTCTATTCTATTCTATTCTATTCTATTCTGTATTTCTGGTCTATTCTATTCTATTCTGTTCTGTTCTATTCTGTATTTCTGTTCTATTCTATTCTGTATTTGTTCTTTTCTATTCTACTCTCCTGATTACCCAATCAACAGAATGTTTGAGTTCTCACAATCTGTTGTCCTATGAACTAACTCAATATCCTAGGTTCGCACAACGTGCTAAACCCCAAATAACTAATCCAGGTTTTAAAACCCATCCAGCTGACAAAATTCTATGAAAAAACAGGTAGTCCTTGACTTAGGACCATAACTGAGCTCAAAGTTCCTGTTGCTAAGTGAGATCTTTTAAAGTGAATTTTGCCCCATTTTGTGACCTATCTTGTCATTAAGGGAATCGCTGAAGCTGCTAATTGGATAACACGGTCATAAAGTGAAACTGGCTTCCCCCCACTGACTTTGCTTGTCCGAAGGTCGCAAAAGGAGATCACGTGACCCCGGGGGACACTGCGACTGTCATAAATATGAGTCAGTTGCCCTAGCATCCGAATTTTGGTCTCAGGACCACGGGGGACGCTGCAACGGTCGTAAATGTGAAACATGGTCCTAAGCCAATTTTTTTCAAGTGCCCTTGCAACATCAAACAGTCACTAAACAAATTGCTGTAAGTCAAGGACTTCCTGCATTTGCTAAGTCCTTTTCTGCTTCGTTAAACATATTGTATGACATCACCCTGCCAACAAAAGTGCATATAGTCAAGGCCATGGTTTTCCCAGTTGCAATGTAGGCTGAGAAAGTTGGACCATAAGAAAGGCTGAGAAAGGCCAAAGAATGGAGGCTTTTAAACTCTGGTGCTGGAGAAGACTCCTGAGAGTCCCCTGGACTGCAAGGCGCTCCAACCGGTCAGTCCTAGAGGAGATCAACCCCGACTGCTCTTTAGAAGGCCAGATCCTGAAGTGGAAACTCAGGTACTTTGGCCACCTAATGAGAAGGAAGGACTCAGTGGAGAAGAGCCTGATGCTGGGAAAGATGGAGGGCAAGAGAAGAAGGGGACGACAGAGAAGGAGGTGGCCGGATGGAGTCCCTGAAGCAGGAGGCGTGAGCTTTAATGGACTCCAGAAGATGGTAGAGGACAGGAAGGCCTGGAGGAACGTTGTCCATGGGGTCGCGATGGGTCAGACACGACTTCGCAACAACATGAACGTAATCAGTGGGGAATGTTTAAGAAAGTTTAAAATCTGCCATGTCGGCGAGGCATGTTTATCTGAAGTCATTCTAGAATTTCCTCTTTTAAAAGAATCAACCAAAGGCAGGAACTGGCAAGCTTTTTCCATTTGAGGTTTTAGAAGAACCGAAAACAAATAGCGACGGTTCATTTTCTCTTTGATTTTGTGTCTGATTGTTATCTATCAAGATATCGAGATGGTTCGCTTTTGAGTAGGTGGTCCCGTCACCCTCGTGACGTTTGAGCGAAAGGTAAGCAAAATTGGCGCTGCCGAATATTAATTCAGCTTTTTTCTGGGCGAGAACAAAGGGATCTTGATTTAGTCTGCTCGGCAGGATCTCTGATTTCGTGGTTTTTAGATGTCAGCCACTAAATGTCACTTATTTTTGTGCTAGAATCAAGATCACATGAAGTGTTAATGCCACTTTACAGGGCCTTGGTAAGGCCACACTTGGAATGCTGCATCCAGCTTTGGTGATCACAAAGTAAAAAATATGTTGAGACTCTAAAAATGAGTGCAGAGAAGAGCCACAAAGATGATTAAAGGAGTGGAGTGTCTAGTTTAATGAAAAGAAGGACTAGGGATGACATAACAGCAGTCTTCTAATATCTGAGGGGCTCCCCAAAGAATAGAATAGAATAGAATAGAATAGAATAGAATAGAATAGAATAGAATAGAATAGAATAGAATAGAAGGTGGAAAGGACCTCGGAGGTCTTCTAGTCCAGCCCCCTGCTCAAGCAGGAGAACCTATACAGTCCCAGACAAGTGACTATCTAGCCTCTTCTTAACAACCTCCAGTGATGGAGCACACACGATTTCTGGTGGCAGGCTGTTCCCCTGGTTAATTGTCCTCAAACTGAGGAAGTTTCTCCTTAAATCCAGATTGTTTCTTTCTTTGTTCAGTTTCCAACCATTGTTTCTTGTCCTGCCCTCTGGTGCTTTGGAGAATAACATGACCCCCTCTTCTGTATGGCAGCCCCTCATATACTGGAATGCTGCTATCATGTCTCCCGTTTCTTCTTTTCTTTAGACTGGCCAAACCCAAGTCCTGCAGCCGTTCTTTGTATGTTTTAGTTTCTAGGCCTCTGATCATCCTAGTTGCTCTAGACCAGGGGTAGGCAACCTTGGCTCTTTTATGACTCATGGACTTCAACTCCCAGAATTCCTGAGCCAGCCATGCTGCCTGGAAAGAGAGAGGTTTCCAAGCTGAGTCATGCTGGCTGAGGAATTCTGGGAGTTGAAGTCCACGAGTCATGAAGGGGCCATAGTTCCCCCATGCTGGCTGAGGAATTCTGGGAGTTGAAGTCCACGAGCCATGAAGGGGCCATAGTTCCCCCATGCTACCTCAGGAATTCTGGGAGTTGAAGTCCACAAATCATGAAGGGGCCATAGTTCCCCCACGCTGGCTGAGGAATTCTGGGAGTTGAAGTCCACAAGTCATGAAGGGGCCATAGTTCCCCCATGCTACCTCAGGAATTCTGGGAGTTGAAGTCCACGAGTCATAAAAGAGCCAACGTTGCCTACCCCTGCCCTAGGCCTAGGCCTCTTTATGACTCGTGGACTTCAACTCCCAGAATTCCTGAGCCAGCCATGCTGAGGGGAAAGGGAGAGGTTTCCAAGCTGAGCCATGCTGACTCAGGAATTCTGGGAATTGAAGTCCGCCAGTCATGAAGGGGCCATAATTCCCCCATGCTGGCTGAGGAATTCTGGGAGTTGAAGTCCATGAGTCATGAAGGGGCCATAGTTCCCCCATGCTGGCTGAGGAATTCTGGGAGTTGAAGTCCACAAGTCATAAAAGAACCAAGGTTCCCTACCCTTGCTCTAGACTAATTCCATTATAATTCCACTCGATTCCATTAATTCTATTCTATTTCCATTCTCTATTCTATTTCTGTTTCTATTCTATTCTATTCCAGGAAAGAAAGGCGACTCTTCACTTTTCTATCTCTATTCTCAGCTGTCTCTGGCCCTTGAGCATTATAGACATGCGGCGGGCTAGAGCGGCACCACTGCCCCGCTTGGTCGACGTGCTTGGTGCGGGGCGAAGCTTTATTCCCGGAAGTGACGTTCAGGAAAAAGTCTCTTGGCGGAACGAAAGAGCAGGAACCGGAAGTTCGGGGCGTCGTCGCCCTAGCAACGCCGTAGGGACGCTGTCTCCAGCGAAGCGGCCGCTGCCATGGCGGAACCGGCGCCGCCCTTGACGCCCACCCCGACCACGACCCCGACGCCGGTGGCCCGGCAGAGCAGCGCCCCCAGCCCCGCCCGGGCCTACCACCTGCGCCCGGCCTTCCACCACAGGTCAGCCGGCTCTCCTGTGATCCCCTTTTTCGCTCCTTTGGTCCTACAACAGCCTTGCGAGGTGGGCCGGCGCGGGGCATTGTGGGAAGCCAGAGCGAGCCTGATCGTCGGGTCTGTAATTGGCCCCAAGTCACCCAGCTGGCATTCATGCCTAAGGCGGGACTAGAACTCACCGTCTCCTGGTGATTGGCCCAAAGTCACCCCGTCAATTTTATGCCTAAGGCAGGACTAGAACTCACCGTCTCCTGGCGATTGGCCCAAAGTCACCCAATTGGCATTTATGTCTAAGGCGGGACTAGAACTCACAATCTCCTGGCGATTGGCCCCAAATCACCCAAGTGACATTCATGCCTAAACTGGGACTAGAACTCACCGTCTCCTGGTGATTCTTCCAAGGTCACCCAGCTGGCCTTCATGTCTAAGGACTAGAACTCACCGTCTCCTGGTGATTGGCCCCAAAATCACCCAGCCTGCTTGACTTGACTTGAACTGAACAACTGCAGTGACTCCCTTAACAACTGCAAGGCGTTGTAAAATGGGGCCAAATTCACTTAACAACGTCTTCGCTTAACAACAGAAATGTTGGGCTCCATTATGGTCGTACGTTGAGAACCACCTGTATACAACTTGGCCGGTCTCTAGAAGCTGTTTCTTCTCCAAAACCAGAAGCCCTTTATTATAGAATTTGCACAAGGGCAAAAAAAAAAAATAGATTAAAGGAGAACTATTGAAAGGATAGAAAGCTTTTTTTTTCTATTTTCAGTGGCTTGTGCATGAAACGGGGAAAAAGATGGTTCAATCAATTTAGACGCACAAAAAAAGTGTGCAGCTCTCCCTTTTGGAGAAATGTCCATGATCAATCTGTGGTCCTCAACTTAGCCCCCGGTCCTCGCGCTTACGTCCAATTTGTGCTTGCCTGTTTTCTAGGGAGACAGATCTTCGGAAGCCAGAGTTTGCAGCCTCCATCTTTCCTACCTGTAGCAGACCCTAAGACTGCTATTTCCCTCTTTTCTTTTTTCTTTTTAAAGATTTTATTGATTTTTTTCTTACATACGTATTATAATTTTTCAACCAACGTGCTGTCTGGGTCCTTTCCCCCCCCCCTTTTTTTTTTTTCTTAGGTTCCGTTCTTCCATGGTGAAAGATTGCATCCACGAAATCCTGAAGGAAGAGCTGGCCAATGTGCAGTACAACCCGGAGGAGATCGGAGGCCGAACCAAAGTCTTATCCGAGCTGATCCGCGACAGACTAAAAGGTCTTTCGATCCGCCTGCATTTGCACACCGGGGACCTTCTCCCCGCCAACCGAGCGTTAACGTCGTCCTGGGCTGAGGGCTGCTGTGATTTTTTTTAATCCTAATTAATTTTTCTTGGCGCTCTTTTTTTCAGAGAAAGGATTGCACCGATACAAAATACTGGTGCAAGTTGTGATCGGGGAACAGAGAGGCGAGGGGGTGAAGTGAGTTTGTCTTCAGTTAAAATTAGGGCTCTCCTTTTGGGTTCTTCAGTCATACTGGTTACATTACAGGCAGTCCTTGACTTACAACAGTTAGTTTGTTTAGTGACTGTTTGAAGTTACAACGGCACTGAAAAAAGGGTCTTAGGACCGTTTTGCACCCTTACGACCGTTGCAATCTCCCCGTGGTCAGGCGATCAAAATTATGACGGTCGCAGCATCCTCCAGGGTCATGTGATCCCCTTTGGCGACCTTCTGACGAGCAAAAATCAATGGGGGAAGCCAGATTCACTTAACAACTAACAGGATTCACAAGCGTAGTGAGAAAGGTCTTAAAGTGGGGAGAACTCACTTAGCCACTGTCTTTCTTAGCAACAGAAATGTTGAGCTCAGTTGTTATAAGTTGAGGACTACCTATATATAGTTCTTCTCCGTAGAACAGTGGTTCTCAACCTTTTTAATGCCGCGACCCCCAAACGGCCGTAAGTCAAGGACTACTCAACCGGTCATAAGTCAAGGACTACTCAACTGGTGCAGCACCATTTGCAGAATGGGACTTTTGGCGGGCTCAGCAGGGCAGAGACAGCCTGGACAATTCCTATTGGCTTTTGAAAGCCAATAGAATTAGACTCAATTCAAGAGAGTCTCTTCTATTGGCTTTCAAAAGCCAATAGAATAAAAGGGAGGAGCACAGCTAAGGAAAAGGGGGAAAAAATGGTGGACTGCATTGTTTGGCGACCCCCATGAAATGGTCGCTCGACCCCAAATGGGGTCCCGACCCACAGGTTAAGAACCGCTGCCTTAGAAGGATCTGGATAGCTAGTGGGGCTACACCTGGAATACTGCGGCCAATTTTGGTCACCACAACACAAAAAAGTTGTTGAGAGTTTGGAAAAAATTCAGAGAAGAGCAACTAAGATGATCCAAGGCCTGGAGACTGAAACATACGAAGAACAGCTGCGGGACTTGGGTTTGGCTGGTCTAAAGAAAAGAAGAAATAGGGGAGACCTGATAGCAGTATTTTAGTATTTGAGGGGCTGCCCCAAGGAAGAGGGGGTCAAGCTAGTCCCCAAAGAACCCAGAAAGCAGGACAAGAAGCAACAGATGGAAACTGATCAAGGAGAGAAGCAACCTGGAATTAAGGAGAAATTTCCTAACAGAGAGGACAATTAACCGGTGGAACAGCTTGCCACCAGAAATCATGGGCACTCCATCACTGGAGGTTTTTAAGAAGAGACTGGACAGTCACTTGTCTGAGATGGTATAGGACACAGGTCGGCAACCTGCGGCTCCGGAGCCGCATGCGGCTCTTTGAGACTTCCCCTGTGGCTCCCAGCCTCCTCTGCCTTTGCAGAGAGAGGCAATTGCACTTCCCTGCTTCTCTCTCTTTCTCTCTCTCTCTGTGTGTTTGTGTGTGTGTGTGTGTGTGTGTGTGTAAAAGAGAGTGCACTCACATTGTTCTCCGAGGAGCTGAAAAGCTTCCTGGGCGGAGCTCCTCCCTTTGCTGCGTCTCTGCAGGAAGCAGGAAGGGCAGGAGAGAGCTAGCTAGCCCAGCTAGGCTGACTCAGGAATTCTGGGAGTTGAAGTCCATGAGTCATAAAAGAGACGAGGTTGCCTACCCCTGAGATTGTTGGAGAACAACTTGAAGCTTGCCAGGTGAGCAGCAGATGGGGGGAGGAGAAAGAGAGAGAGAGAAAGAGAGAGAGAGAGGGAGGGGGAGAGAGAGAGGAAAGAGAGAGAAAGAAAGAGAGCGGGGGGGAAGAGGAGTGGCAGACCAAGGGCAGAGAGGGAGGGAGGGAGAGAGAGAGAGAGAGACCCTTTTGACATCTAAAATGAAGATAACACTGCATATATCCTTTTTTTACCTGTGTGTGTATGTAATTTTATTCTCTTAAAGCATTCTCTCGGTGATCATTGGTTTAATAGTATGGATATTCCCAAGAGTCATATTTTTACTTTTATTTTTAATGTGTGTGTGTGTGTGTGTGTGTGTGTGTATACACATACACATACACAAACACTCTCTCTCTCTCTCTCTCTCTCTCTCTCTCACACACACACACACACACACACCTATAATAAAGATAAAAAAGGATATATGCAGTGTTATCTTCATTTTAGATATCAAAAGGGTTTTGCGGCTCCTGGTGTTTTGTTTTTGGTGGGAAACGGGTTCAAGTGGCTCTTTGAGTGTTTTGGGTTGCCTACCCCTGGTATAGGAGGTTCTCCTGCTTGAGCAGGGGGCTGGACTAGAAGACCTCCAAGGTTCCTTCCAGCTCCTATTCTATGCTATATTAGTTGGAGAGATACTCTTCTTTCATGTCAGAATTTGTCAGTTCACATTTCCATCATTTTTATAGTAGGTGACCAGTCTCTTCTTAAAAACCTCCAGTATTGGAGCATTCACAAATTCTGGTGGCAGGTTGTTCCATTGATTAATTGTCCTCACTGTCAGGAAATTTCTCCTTAGTTCTAGATTGCTTCTTTACTTGATTAGTTTCCATCTGAGGTTTCTTGTCTTGCCTTCAGGCGCTTTGGAGAATATAGCTTGACTGCCTCTTCTTTGGGGCAACCCCTGAGATATTGGAGCACTGCTATCATGTC